CCAAATGACTTAAGCAGAAACACCACCAAGAAACTGGCGTATTCTGTAATAACGGAAAGGTTTTTTTCTGACCTGAGCGAGCACAGTGTTGCCGATGTAGTTGTTGGAATCTCACAAAAGTCAAGTGTACGATTCGTATGGTCACTAAAGTACAAAACTGAAAAAATTCAAGAAATATTATGTCGTAGCTCATAATATGCCATGACCGTAGCGCCCTTGCTACTAGCCAAGTCAGAGTAAAGGCAAACTCGGCTCGCAGTCGCATGAATACAGGCCGGCTGCGCAGCGCAGTGATGAACTACCACAAATCGCTGCTTATGAATTCGCAGATGAACTTATACGTGCAAAAAATACAATCAAATAATTGACGAGAATCCGTTCCTCGGATGAGACTGCCGCCAACCAGTCAAGTATGAAGCTTTGCACAGACAGATGCACAACTAAGTTATTAATCTTTTGTTACTCTTTATCTGACTTACAATAGCTTGTTCTTGTTCCCCTGCCATTTCTTACGATAGGCTTTCATACATGTTCAAAAGCCCAGAATAATAAATAAGTCATTTCAGTGGCCTTCCAGTCTTTTTTATTCATATATTTACAAGAAGCACGGATGTTAATGACGATTTGTGAATTTAAATATAACGTATTAATCCTTAAGATGGCTGAAATATGTTTTTTTTTAATCTACTAGTCACAATGTTTTGCTTGGTATCTGTGGTACCAGAGGAAAGAAATTGGTGCCAAATGCTGTTCATATAGTGCCGATTTCGGGTCGCACATGAAGTTTCTTTCCACTCACACTTAGAAATGTCTTCAAATCCAGTGGATAGCGAAGTTCTGCAGGCCCTACAAACCCTGCAGAAATATAACTTCAAAGTAAGGAAGTTTTCTATGCGATCTTCTTTAAGGAAGCCGAACTTGCTCTAAAAAAAGAAGCTGGACTTACAGATAGTGGGATTGCAGAAGAATTTCTGGAATTTAAGGCGTAAGTTTTTTAAAATTAATAATAAAAATTTCAGTGAGACCCCAGAAGATCCTAAAACTTTTATATCAGCATATGAACAACTTATCCGATTTATTGATACTGCGGCTGATCAACACAAAGTAGGTATTTGGACCGCTGTGTACTGTCGTAGCTTGAACTTTCTTCCCTCCTATACCCGGTCTTCGTACAGCTTTATATGCGCCTGGTGAGTGGAAACTTTTGCACCGAAGGTAATTTGGCATACTTTCCAACACGTTTTAGCCAAATTCTTCATGGAACGGTTTTGGCGGTTTCAGGAGGATTATTATCAAGAAGATATCAAAGTACTAGCTTCTATCTCCGAATCAGACCATCTTTTTACAAATCCGCTCGTTGAGTCTTTTCGAGCCACGGATTTCTATGTCAGTATTGCATCTGCTTCATATGTTTTACTTCGCCGTTACATACGGGAGCATAAACTGTCCGTTTTACAAAGCGTTCTGAAGGATCAGCTTCATATCGAAAGTAAAACTACTACATTTTACCGAAGTTTTAGCTATTGATGGACCACCACGCTCAAAACTTCAGCTTCACTCCCGTAGAGGTGCGATTTTTGGCGAAGCACGCCAGGACGCCAACACAGAGCCGGTTCTTTATGGTTTGTTAAGAGATTCTTCCGCAAGTCTTGATTCTTCGGAACCCACAAAAAGTTCTCCAAATGAAAATATGGACAGCTGTGGTAAGCTCATGCCGTATACACCCGGAAAAGTATTCTATCAGTTGTCCTTTATAAGGCTATTTCATTAATACCGGAACCCCCGTGCTTGCGGTTTCTACCATTTGGTGTTATCAAGT